GGATGCTGGTTTGTCGCAGCTGAGACTTTCAGCCAGTTCTGCTGCCAACCAAAGCCTGGAAAGCAGATGTTGTACCAAATCAGCAGCAGAGCAGATCTCACAACCACCGTGACATGCATGCTCTGGAACTAGCACTGCTTAAACAATACTGGCAGTCTCCAGGACTGAATGGGAAAAGTTGTCCTGACAGGTTGCCTCTAAATCTAATTTCACACGGACATTTGTGCAGCTGGTGGCAAATGTGTCAAGTGTTCATAGAGATAGGAAATATAGCTGCTGAAACGTGCTCAACACCAGTATAAGGAGTAGGGGTGAAAGTTGAAATGGCAACCCACTTCAAATGCAAGTCTACAAACATTTAAGGAATATGGGGAAAAAGATATCCACAGCAATCTGGGTATTATACTAAGGTGAGCACCATTCACATTTTGCCATTCTTCTGCATTGTAGTGATGCACCTTGTCTCACACATTATTGTGTGTGGTGTTAAAGTAAAATTCAAAAGTTACCAAAGTGTGCTGCGTGGCCATTCCAAAACACTGATATGCATTAAGCCGAATCGGCTGGTTCAATAGAAACCGGCCGACATTTGGCCAGTGTGTATGGCAGCCGGTCCAGCCTCTGTCAAAGGGGCAAGACCAGAAAAAGGTATGCTGATTGGCATCCGATTAGCACTCTCAGCCAATGGCTGAGCGCCCTGACCAGTGTATTCTGATAGGCCCCCCCAAACACAATAGCTCAGCGGAGTGATCAATGTACAAACATATGAATGTTCATACAGGATCTTCTCCCAAGCTCCTCCGTTTTTTTTTGTTCAGCCCACTGTGTGGAACGAAAAAAAAAACGGATAGTGTGAACTCGGCTAGAGTATTCACTATCGTAAAGCACAATTTGACGAAACACAAAATGTAAATGGGCCTTAAAGCAATTCACATTTGAGGATAGACAGATAAGGACCGAGTTAATTTAGTTGTTTATAATTTAGAGTAATTGTGGGCAACAAATGAAACAATTGGCGACCTGCTATTGCTATGCACCAAATGCTGCTTCTGTGCTAAGGTAATAAAGTCCATTTAATGTACACTAGAAATGAAATATAGGGATGGTATTGCTGACTTTTAAGTTTTTAAGTCTTTATAAACACTTTTAGGTCACCAGTATAAGAAGTATTTTTTTTTTATACTTATCTTTCCATTGCTTAATGTATTGCAAAGTCACCTCATCTTCACTCCCCAGCCGCTGCAAGTATTCGACCACTGGAGGAGTCAAATATTGGCTTCACCTGAGAGCCACCACCGATTGTGACTTCAGCCAGTGGAAGGAACAACAGTGGCTGCAGGAGGGGCAAGTATTCTGCACAGCCAGAAATGCAAAATACTTGCAACGGCGGGAGTGCTTTTAAATGCATGAGTTGTTGGAAAGGAAAACTATTTTTACATGTGACCTCTTGGCTAAAAGTGACAGGGTCATTTTAACCTGCAGGGATTATCTTAACCCGATCTGATCATGTAAAAATGGAATTTCAACCAAATTTCACTTTATTGGATAGAGTGGAAAGAACAAAAAGAAGGTGAGGCAGTGTTACAGGACTGGATCTTCCAATATGGAATAACAAATGTCAAAGGTGGTAATTCCCCAACAATCAAAAACCTGACAGATTCTAAAGCTTACCATAGACAGATCGAATTTCAGCTGATTTAGCGGGGACCAGCTGAATATTAATCAGAGTTTGGCCATTGCGGTTTGTCAGAAATTGATCCTTGAATGGACATGTTGGAAAATGTTTGCCGATCAGCAACTATAGCTGCTGATTATTGTATTCTGACAGCACCAGGTGCAGCTGTTAGAATACATTGTCCCAGCTGAAAGAATTCCTCCATCCAACTCGTTTGTGTTGGTGAAGGAATCTGTCACCTATGGCCAGCTTCCCTGCTCTTCAAGGAAAAAAAAAAGGTTGGTTGAAGTTCCATTTTAAAGGGTAGAGATGAACTAGGAAGAAATCATCAACCTGCAACAAATATGCAGGTATGAAGTTCTGATATTACTGTACTGTTCAATTGTTTTTGGGTCCGACATGCAAGTTATGAAGATATAATTCATGGAGTTTGAATGCCTAAATACAAATTGGCAATAACTGCTCTGGCGACACAGAGCATCTATTCCCATGATCCCTCTCTATGTGAGGGCCATTAGTAGGCAGGACTGAATGCCTGATCTGCATTTACACATGGATAAGCAATTGTCATTCCCATAACAGATTATTATAGTGGGGAATTGCAGGTAGTTGGGTGGTTAAGTGCAATAGACAATTCCTGGATAAAAATGGAACACCAAGTAAGGAAGGTTCAGATCTCTATATGCATTTCAAAGCTTTTAAGATGGATTCCACACCAAATTATTATAAACATACCTGTGCAATGATAACACAGATGTCAAAGCACAGTCACAGCACAGTAAAACTATGTACAATATATGCTCCATTAATTACCCATACTTCACATTTTCGAGTTTTTGTCCAATTATCTGAATACAAATTATGAGTCATTCACAGGGATCAACCTGAACATTTTAGAGGTATCTCCCTCTTTTTTCAACATGACCACCCAGTGAATAAAGAAATACAAGGTGACAAATGCTCAAATGAAATCTACAATGTTAGCTTTAAAAAAAAGGTACAGGTTATATCCTCAATTTTAATATGGACATTTTGGCGGAGAAGTCTTTCAAAGACCGTCAAAGCCTATACAGTAGATTAACAACTTCTTGCACTGAAATAAGGATAAAGCTCATAGTACAAACTGCTAAAATATTTGGCTGGTAATTAAATACGTCAGTGCTTATTAATCCAGTGTCTTTTGTGTCTTTATTCAAAAATAATGTTGCATAGGCAAGGTGTTGTTCAGAAAGCAGAGAAAACAGTACTAAATGTATAAGAGGGTTCCCTTAGACTCCAATGGATATTGGATAAATATATACGTGCATACTTTTTCCACATCTAACAAATGGCTATTCTAAATTACTAATTCAAGAATTGGGCACACATCAGTTTTAGAAAGTAAAGACATGAAAAATGTAAAACATGGTTAAAATTTAAACTTTGGAGTATCATTTGCATAAATTTAAAAAGTTTGGACGTTAAATCATAGACCAATATGTTAAACTTCTAAGGTTTTTTTTTTTTTTTTTAATATTTTTGAAACTTGGAACTGAAAGCATAGCTAGGCTAAAAACAATAGAAATACCATAAGCAGCAGACACTGACCTGTAGACTCTAAAACGATCTTTCAAAGTCCCTATTTGCATAAACATATGACTTCTCAGTCTTGGAGGCACTGGTCATTCTATTGTGGGGTGGAGGTGGTGGGGTGTGTGCCTAATTGCTATTACCACGGCAAATGTAGGTGCCCTAGGTGGTGCTACAATAGGCATTTCTGCTACCAAGAGGTATGCGATGACAGCTTATGTGGCTAGCCACCTGCCACAGATGTTTATTTCAAGACTGTTAATGTGTGTGAACTGTAAAGGATAACTGCACCTAAGCACAAGCTAATTTACACTAAACAGTAGGTAGAAATGTTTCCACACTTTCAAAGAACAAAAAAGTTATTTAAAACAGTGTTATGACTAGGTGTAAGTACAGCCTATTGCCTACATCCTTCCAAATGTATGAATAAGGGGAGTGGTGACAGACAAACTTATTGAAATTAGGTCAGGTTTATGTAGAACCCCCACCAAACCTCCCAGTTATCCTAAGTTCTAATAACTTCCCGGAAATTCACTATATCATCTAGAAATGTCACCAATAAACTTTAGGTAAGCTGACTTGTTTTATTAACCTGTTATTTTTTCCCATTTTACTCCAGCAGACACAACAGTCATTCATCACAAACAAAATACTGTATGGAACATTCCCAGCATGTTTCTCATGATAAACAGTAAGAGACCCTACAGCTTTGTAATCTATGGCATCATACCCAATATAAAGTAGAGAAACAGATTCTGCTCCAAGGCCCAAAATGAATTGTTCTACAACAACTGCCAGCCTTGCTGTAAGCAAATTGCAGAGCAATTCCAGTATCTGGTTTCCATTATGTAACAAGTTTAATGAGTTTCAGTGTTTTGTAAAGATAGCATGGATCAGCAGATGCCAAGTACTGGCAACAGAGCCAATCCTCCAGTGAAATGTTATGCTCCGGTTCCAAAGCCCGCTCTGCAAATTTCATCATCAGGAGAGCCCTCTTCATATCAATCCAGTTCTGAAGGGCACAGTGTAAAGCCTCCTCATGGCTAAATGGCTGATCAGTCAAGTCTTTCCTTGGTCCCCACAACAGACATTGAAGGACACGTTTGGCTTCTGAAATGCGTATACGTTTGATTGGGTCGGCTTCTAGCAACAAATGTGCAAGATGCTGAAGCCCACGAGAATAAACGGATAGGTTTTTAAGAGGTGGCAAGTCCTTCTGGCTATATTCATGCTCATGAAGACTAGTGCGGACCTCAAATGGGTTGGACTGGTGTAGAAGTTCATAAATAAGAATCCCTGTCTGGAACTCATCAAACTTTTTGTACTGGGAGGCAGCCATGATTTCAGGTGCCAGCCTGGTTTTATCCTTTTTGATTTTCGAGTCTTCAGACCCAGGTCTCTGCTTAGCTTTGGAAAAGTTGCTGACAATAAGTCTTGGAATATACTTGCCATCTTTATTCTTATCAGGTGTGGTTTGACAGTGGACAAGCAGCAGGTTATCTAAGCAGAGGTCACGGTGAATAATGGCATGTTCCTTTAAGTGCTCCAAACCATTGCAGAGTTGTAGTAACAAAAGGCAAACCTGACGTTCATAAATTTCTGGCTGAGCATTATGGCTGGACACAGATTCCCGAACAAAGTCTGCAGCTGTGCAATAAGGCACTTCTCGAGTAATGACCACCACACAGTCTTCCTCAGTTGAGGTGGCGACAGCCTGAGAGGTCTCACAGCCCTTGGGTGCATCTGGTGGACGTAATAAACTTGAAGGAACGGTGGCAAGAAAATGTCCACAGTCTTGCTGTATATTGTAGTTTACAGGTAGCGATAGGTTGCTGTTTAAAGGAGTATTTGTGTCTTCTGCTCTACACATCTGCAAGTTAAAACACAGGAGAAATACTGAATAAAATATTTTGGCAGAAGGATTAGCAGATGGGATGTACAAATGTATACATAATTCAGAAGCCAGTGAAAAAGTCTTTCAATATACCTGGTCTTATCTAATTTACCCATGCAAGAATAATGAGAACGCATACAATTTACCAGTGCAAATTCAGCTGCCAGTTTTAAACCATATTTCAACAGTCCTGGCTAGAGAATGCAGTTGATTGGGCACTATGGGTCACTGCACAACTTCTACCCTCTTTACACTATTTTAATAACTAATGCCAATAATCTCATGATTCAAATGCAGCTAAAGCAAGTACATGTGTAAAGGGCAATTTTCATTTAAAAATAATGCATTTTACAGACTCAGTTGAGCTATTTGTGAATAATCCCCTAGGCTGTGGCCAGATAATGTTTCCTTGTGCTTTAGAGCAGAATTATCACTATCGTGGCAAAAGTAATGCTAGTAAACCCTAGAATTTATCAAAAAAGCTGCAAATGTTTTGCATGCTACAGATCATTTCTTATAGCATTTTACAGTTTTTCCTTAACCACATGTAAACCTTTTGTTATACAGAATGCAAAGTATAATCATTCTCTGTTAGAATCCTAAGATCTTGGATAGGTTCCTGCCTTTTTAATGCAATGTCAAAAGGATGGGGCAATTTATTATTAGTACAAGATATGGATTAAACTGATGTTTGTAATAAAAAAGATTGATTAAAAATCAAGGACTTCCCTATAGTGAAGGATCAGACATATTTAGCTACTTCTGCATGTTGGACCCATTTGTATAACTTGGGCCAAGGGGAGAGGCCAAGCTGATCACCAGAAAACCTAATCCATTTTAAATTCCCTATAGAGCTCTGCTGGGAAGTTCCCCTGCCAGTGTTTTCCTCTTGCTACTCATATTGTGTGCACCTCTCAGAATATGTGCAGGGGTTTTAAAGCTCAGGTAGGGGACTTTGAATACGGTGACAGGCAAAGATAGACAGGAAGAAATCCTCCAGGAGAACTTTATAGCAATATGCAGATTCACTTAACACATTCTAGGACTAAGGCCCCATTCACACCTGCAGCTCCAAAATGCTCAACCCCAAAAATCCCATGGTTTTCAAATGTGCCTCTTCACACCTGAACATAGTGTTGCTTGAAAATGTACATGTTTTTGGCCACAACAGACTTCAAAAGCCTGTAAAAATGACCAAAAACATTCAGCATAAGTGTGAATAAAGCCTGATGCTGAAAATGGTACAGAAAAAGTGAAGGTCTGCTATTTCTAAACATGTCACATTTACCTTGACTGCATAGTTATTTGATGGGTCCTTGGCACATGTCGCACAATAATAAATAGCATCTCTAGCACTGCAGCATGGTTTGTTGCTTGTCAACTTGAAGAGTGACCAACTGGTCTCGTTGAAGTGCAGTTCCTTCTTTTGGTCTTGCATGAAGTAATCCTCACATTTGTTCATTAAACGCCTTGTAGACTGGGCATAAAGGCCACTAAGCTTAGCGTACATGCCTTCTTTGCTGTCTATATTGCTAAGCAGATGATGGAGCTGCAGACTTGATGCAGATGATGTATGGCTGGAGACGCTCAGTTGAGAGGTAGAGAGGGCTGGGGATCCTCGGCTCTGAAGACAGTTCCGATTTCGAACCTCATTTCTGTGTCCACTCCCTCTGCAGCATTGTTCTAAGGATTCGGAGGAAGAAAACATAACATGCCTGTCAACAGGACTTAATGGATAGCTATGTGATGCAGACTCTTCACCACAAACATTGTTTTCAGATTGGCTCTGATTGAGCCTTGGACTTTTGGGGCCAGCTCCATTTTTTGATGGAAAAGCCCGCCCCCAGGCAGAGTTATCGGGAGCTGAAATAGCCCTGTTCATGGACTTCTTTATGGGCAATGGTGGTGGCTGGACAGATCCATGTTGAGCTTCCATGCCAGAGTCCACAGAGAAAGAAACTTGGGCAAAATGTTTTTTCTCACTGCTTGAGGAAACGGATGGTGAATTAACAATTTCACAAGACTGGCCTACGAAAAAAAAAAAAAAAATGCAAAGATTAGATTTACCATGACTTCATTGTAACGTCCAAATGCAGAACTCATAAAACAAGAAGTATCTGAATAATTGTTTTCCAAAAGACCCACAAACAGTTGTTACACATTATTTTACTAATTAGTTCCTGCCTTCATTTTTGTTTATTTAAATTTGTGACCAAGTAATATACTTGAAGAATCAGTCAACTCATATGCAAACCCTAACAATATACTTTTTATTTGGTTACCTTTTTGTCTGTTAAATATACCACTGGACGTCTGTTGTTGTACCAGTTTAATAAGTAAAAAAAAAAAAATACTTGTTGATCTTGCCAGAGACCTTGTGAACTGATAACTTCCTATGCCAACGTATCAGTTACATTGTTCTCGGAGGACCACACGCCCCTCCATGATATGGAGAATAGGAAAAACGCAAAATTCCATGTTCTGACACAGCAGGATGAGTGAGCATTGTCATATGAGGACTGGAAATGTGTCACCAGGTGGAAAAAAAAAGCTTTAAAGATTAAAACTAATTCAGCTGCCATATCCAAGGACCAGTAAGCTGAGCTATATTAGTCTTTTGTTTTTGTGCTTCTATATGCTTTCATTTTTTACCCCTACATCACATACTTGCGACTTCTACTAAAGTGAGAGGTGTTTCAAAATAACCCCAATTTTCTTATCTTGGGGGTTGCTCTCCTTGAGGCATTCTCCACCATGTTAAATCAGTAAAACATATACATAGTAATAGCTGTGCTATGTAGAACTATGGCGCAGAGACTAACAAAATCAAAGTTATTAGCTCAAATGACTTCTGGCAGAATCAATGGCCATTTTTGTACTTATTCAATAGATGAAAATATAGTTGGAAGAGGTTTCTTATAATAGACCAAACTGGAGTAAATAGGATCATTGACAGGGTTTACATATATTCTAACAAATGTATAAACTAAACTGTATGTCTTTCTAATCAGCATTACTATAATGTAACCATCTGAATTTCACTATAGCAGCACAGTTTTAGTAATCTTATCAGTGGATGATAACCGGTAGACCTGCTAGCAAACACTTCTTTGTGCCAGTACAGCAATCCATTTGTTTGCGTTGCTCAGGTAAGGAGAGCAAAACACATTCCATGGCTGCTTTGTGACAAGAGGTTCATTGGAATCAGATTTTGAACACAGACAGGGAGTGGCAGCTTGTTGAACACTGATCTTGCAGCTTATTTTATTTTAAGCACATATTCCGAGCAGAGGGCAGATGTTGCAATAGAATTAACAGAGGCTTAGAGGATCTTCGACTCTAAATGCAACCCCCCTTGCATAACCTTACAAAGTAAGATTTTCACCTTGTTCGTTATCAGGAGACCAGAGAAAAGTAGCTTACAAATCCGACTGACAGGTGCCAAAGCCCAAGCCGGCTAACACAAAATACAGTATCCTATGGGAAGATGGCACCTGGTACTCACCTGAGTAAAAGATGACAGAGACCCATTCAAATGGCCAACACTCCAGGATAGTTTCCCCTTCATCAAAATGATGCTTGCAATATGTATCAACCCCATTAAAATATTACTGCTAAATGCATTTTAAAGTACACAGAGGGTTGCAATGTTGCACAATTCTGCATAGTAACACTCCTTCCACGCAAGCCCTGTCATATTTGCATTGTGACTTGCACCAGTCATTCATGTACACTCAAGGCAGCAAAGACTAGATGGACTTTGGTCATTTCGCAACAGATAGGCAGGTATGTTAGACAATGTTTATATACGCCCTAAAAAGTGTTAGATTACCTATCCTGATTTCATTTTTAAAAGGCAACAAGTCGGCAATAGGACACACTTTTGCAAGGTCATTTGCTCAAGTTATAAAGCACAATTGCATTATAAGAAAAAGTGTTCTAGTTGTAATGTTTATATTACCGGTAGATCTGTTTTTATTTTAATTTTTATACATTTAGAATTTTTTAAAAAGGCAGCACATTGAACACTAAGACAATCCTACTCATAACTGGGTATAACTGGGATGCTAGTTGCAACACAGAACTGAGCTTGGAAATTGCTTCTGTACCCAGCCCCAAGCAGACTTGCAAGCTAATAAGGAACCACTAATTGGTTGCATGGGTGACAGGGGCTTATTAGAGTACCAAATGAAGGACACAAATATACATGACATATATACAGTATTCTTGATTTGTAAAGTGCTAACAACATTTCCATCAGATTTGATCCATTTTACATCTCTAAAAACATATTTACAACAGTGGTGTGCATAACCCCCATCACAGGGTGTGTCTGCCCCCAACCCAAGGGGTAAATCTGAAACTGTTAACAACCCAGAATCACATGAGCCCAAAGTGTTTCCAAACTTGCTGTTCCTCAGGAGATTTTTCTTGGACCTTTAAGAACAACATACCACAAAAAGCTATCATGTGATTTTGGGTTGTCAACAGATTCAAAAATCTGCATTGGGGAAAACACAACCCATGATGAGGGTTCTGCACACCACTGGTATAAATATGTTTTTAGAGATGTAATATGGATAAAATCAGAAGGCTTGATGGACATGTTTTTAGCACTTTACGAATAAAGAATATATATTTTATGTATATTTGTGCAGGTTAATTTGGTACTCTATTAAGCCCCTGCCACCCACACAACCAATTGATGGTTCCTTTTTTGCTTGTGGGATACTAGGTGTAGTATGGTTTTTATGAATGGAGGCTGAAAGAGCAGGCATAGTTGGGCACTATGGAGGATTATGGTGGCGTATTGTGTGTATTCTTTATTGTTTTTGATTTTTGTCAACTTAGTCTTTTATTAACAGATTGGCTTCTGGCGTCCTGGCTTTACAATGTATAGCTTACTCTGTTATAGGAAGTGGTGAAAAAAAAAAAAAAAAAAAAAAAAATGGACCGTTGCAAATTTTTGAATCTAAGGTAATTAAAAGCCCAATTTCAGCCAAACCTTTTGCTAAACTTGGACAGAATGGGGTTTATTTACTAAAGCTGGAGAGTCCAAAATCAGACTCTCTTCAGCATAGAAACCAATCAGCTTCTAACCACAGCTTGTTCAATGAAGCTTTGGCAATGAAACCTGGAAGCTGATTGGTTTCTATGCAGAAGGGAGTCTGATTTTGGACTCTCCAGCTTTAGTAAATAAACCCCAATGGGTCACGATTTTGGATTAGGACATTTAACCTAATTTAGTCACAGGACAAAATATCTCTGGAAGCTAAACAGTGCCCTATTCCAAAAATTGGATGATATCCCTAATATAAGAAAATGACTGATCTCCTATATGAGACTAGTGGCCAGGATCTACGTACCTTGGCAAAAAAAGTTATGTTATTCCTTTTTTGACGAGTACGACACTAAACCCAACACCGTTGAGCCCCCCAATTGTAATATGGAGGTTATCAATGACTATCTGAATTAGTACATAACATTTCTGGTCACTAGGTCATGGATATTATCTGAAATTGTTTGCATTACTACTTGCAGCTTTGTATGTCATCCTTCTAATGTTGGGAGGTCCCATGTTCTATTTTGTTTTTGTAATTTAGATTTCTGAAAAAACTAAAACATTTGAAATCTAAATTTGAACAAAATGGATCCATTTTAGAACCCCTGTCTTTCTGTCTACACCCCTCACTGGGGAGATTTTCCTTCATTGCTGATAAAAGATAAATATTGGTGATAAATCTAAAAAAAAACAACACAACAACAACAACACTTTTACTACTAAAATGTGGAAAGGTAAGCGTTTTTATTGCTGTCTATGTTAATATGTCTTCTCAATTCCTGTCCTCATGCCACAGGAACAAAATGTAGGAGGCATTCTCCTTAAAGGGGACCTAGGAATGAATAAAATCTGATGGAAGTCTTTCTCCATGCTATCCAAAAAAGGTTTCGGCTGGAGATCAGCTTTACTACTTGCATGTAACATATATTAAAATGCTAAAGTAAAATATTTTATCTCAACTACAAGTGTGAACTATGACAATATAATGCACATCCATTAAGAGCAGAAAACATGCATGACCTGATAAGACCTAAATGTTGGGCAACATCTAAAAAGACCAATACAGATGATGTCATGAACTTCTTATTTCAATGCTTGTTTAAAAAACTTTTGTGGAGATTACTTTTCAGGAATGTTGCATGCTCAGACACTGCAAAACATGGGTCATGTACAATTGTGTTATAAAACTCAGAGTCAAAATTTACTAAGATTCCAGCTGGTTTGGTTTGTAAATGACTGACAATGGTAAGTAGTATTCCAGTGTTACCAATAAGCATCTTATATACAGGTGAAACTCGAAAAATGAGAATATCGTGCAAAAGTTGATTTATTTCAGTAATGCAACTTAAAAGGTGAAACTAATATATGAGATAGACTCAGTACATGCAAAGCAAGATATTTCAAGCCGTGATTTGTCATAACTGTGATGATTATGGCTTACAGATCCACAATCTCAGAAAATTAGAATATTGTGAAAAGGTGCAATATTCTAGGCTCAAAGCGTCCCACTCTAATCAGCTAATTAAGCTATAACACCTGCAAAGGGTTCCTGAGCCTTTAAATGGTCTCTCAGTCTGGTTCAGTAGGAATCACAA